AGTTCGAGGCTCGGGTGTTCCACACTTCGGGCTTGGGTATGGCTGGCTGACGACGGCTAATAAGCCAGAAATGGCCATTCCAGTCTCCCTTGTCTTTGTCGGTAATATCATTTCTGCCTATATATATATATATATATATATAATACATACGCAGCTCGCCCACTTGACATGCATATATATATATATATATATATATCAGCGATGTATATATATATATATGCGTATGTGCTGGAAAACGGGCATCCCAAGAAATTTAATTGAAAATAAGTAAGATTCTTTGGGAAGGGAATAAACGTTAATGAGTAAATTTTCGAGTCTGGTTCCCCAGCTCGTCGTCAGACTTTTGGGCAATGTACAAAAACAGTTAAATATTTAACCGTGTCAAACAAGTGATTCTATGGTTGGCCGAAGTCTGCGCCAATGCGCGTCAACGATTTCGTCATCCCCTCGGCATTGGCTGCGCTCGCTTCCATTTGTCCTTGAGAAATTTGTATGTGGAATCTAAATCGATATGCCGATTGGTGCATGCCTCATCTGAGTGCGTTGCTTCCAGGAATTCGCGGCCTTTCCTTATTGGGCAGGCGCCAACAATGCGGGTGTTCTCCCATGCAAATTTGTGTCCAGTGTGTGCATAGCCACCTGGGATAAATGATCTCGTCTCCTCACCGCTAACTGATGCTCATGTATGCGGGTAGAGGCGGATTTCCCAGTTTGGCCACAATACACGGCATCACAACTGGAACATGGTATCTTGTAGACAACACCTTTCCTATCAAGATAGCCAACCCTGTCCTTAGGTGTACAAGCTGTGTACGCAAGGTGGTTGTAGGTTGGTGTGCTACGTGTATCTGATACTTTTTCAGTTGTCTTTCGACGAGTTCAGATACATTTTTGATGTATGTGAGGGTCCGCCAGGTGAAAGTTTTTGGTGCTTGGGTGGCCGCTGTTTTCGAAATACCTTTCTGTTTAAACTCATGTTTCATGCAATGATGCACAAAGTGGCGCGGGTAGCCGTTGTGGGAAAATAATTTGAAAAGGTATTTCACTTCTGCTTGATAACTTTCTTCATCAGAGCAGTGTGTTTTAGCTCGGTTTAGTAGGCTGTAGACAGTACTCCTCTTGTGAGAGATGGGGTGGTTACTCTCAAAGTGTAGGATGACCTCGGAGTATGCTTCTTTGCGATAAACTAAAGTCTGAAGGGATCCATCAGTTTTTCGGCATACGAGGACATCTAGAAATGGGAGCTGTCCGTCAACCTCTGTTTCAAATGTGAACTGAATTCCTGGAAATGTGGAGTTAAGATTCGTGTGAAGTTGGTCTAATTGGTTTCTCTTGACAATGACAAATGTGTCATCAACATAGCGTAGCCATAGTTTTGGATTAATTTTTGGAAGGGCTATAGACTCCAGTTTCTGCATTATGGCTTCTGCTAGAAAGCCGGATATAGGCGAACCCATAGGAGCACCTTTCAGTTGCCGATAACATTGTTTGGCGAAAGAAAAGTTGGTTTCTAGACAAACATCAAGTAGTTGGAGTAGAGCGTCGGCAGGCACATCAGTGGTGTAGGTCTGAAGGAGTTCTTCGGTGCAGTGTCTCGCTAAATCTAATGGAATCTAGGTGAAGAGGGAGACTACATCGAATGAAACCATTATCTCGTCGGCAGCAACAGTCACTCCTTTTAATTTGTCTAGGAACTGATTCGAATCTTCAATGGAGTTCTCAGAGTCCTTTGTAAGTGGATGCAGATGGTGAAATAACCACTTAGAAATCTTGTAGTTTGGTGCACCGATTAAGGAGACTATCGGTCGCAGTGGAATACCTACTTTGTGAACTTTAGGAAGTCCATATATTTTGGCAATTGTGGGTTCGTCTTGTTTTAAGGATTTAGCCAGAACTCCTGAGATTAATTTCTTTCCTGTAAGGCGCTTTAGTGTTTTCTCGATGCATGTATTCTGCGATTTTGTGGGGTCAGCATCTAGGGGTTCGTAGGTGGATTCGTCTTTTAATAGTTTCATCATCTTCTCTGTGTAATCCGTCTTGTTCATTATGGTGATGGAGCCTCCTTTGTCAGCGGGCAGAATGATGATGTTTTCATCAGTTTTAAGTGAATTTAGTGCTTTCTTTTCATCGCCAGACAAAGTTGAGAACTTGTTTCTGTTCTTCAAGGCCTGTACCGTACTGTTGCGAATTGTAAATTGTTCTTCCTCTGTAAGACCTGCCGAAGTTATAATGGATTCGAAGCTGGCAAGGAAGTTCAAGTAGTTGGAGTCAGATGGATTGTACTTCATTCCTTTGCTCAGCACGTTCTCTTCGGCTGTCGTCAGTATTCGTGATGATAAGTTTATAACTTTCTTTGAGGATGAAGAGTCATTGTAACCTTTTCTAGAAATGGCCATCCATTTTTTGTCCAAAACATTCTTCTTTTTAAGACGCTCTAGTTCCGAGACATGTGCGATGGTTTCCTGTAGGGTTTCAAATACCTGGGGAGGAAGTCGGTCAATGCAAAATTGCCTGTGTTGTTCTTTCTGTTCTGTGAGGCGACAAAGACAAGGGAGACCGGAATGGCCATTTCTGGCTTATTAGCCGTCATCAGCCAGTCATACCCAACCCCAAGTGTGGATCACTTGAGATTCGAACCCGGCATCTTTTGTCATGGAGTTTGACGCTCTACCATTGAACCACGGGCCCGTAGTCCTGTCGGTTGTGATCGGGAATATCAATTATGACATTGGGCGCTCGCCGATCAGGTTACGGGACATGCTCGTTCCGTTGTGCCTTGGGGCTCATACTAGAACCCTCGCAGGCAGTCGCTCAGCGACTAGTAGTAGACATAGATGAGATGGAGCCGACAAAGACAAGGGGGACCGGAATGGCCATTTCTGGCTTGTAAGCCGTCATCAGCCAGTCACCCAACCCTAAGTGTGGATCACTTGAGATTCGACCCCGGGATCTCTGGTCATGGAGTTTGACAATGATAGTGTCAGACAATCCGAACCAACCATCACCAAGATCTACGGATTGCCCAAAGTTCACAAATCTGAGGTACCACTGGGACCGATAGTATAATTAATCGGTGCACCCAATTACAAAATTTCTAAGTGGCTATTCCACCAACTTCACCCACTTACGAGAGATTGTGTAAACTCCATTGAGAACTCCATGGAGTTTCTATAAAAATTGAGAGAAATCACAATTTCCGCGGATGAGATAATGGTCTCCTTTGATGTGGTTTCTTTATTCACTTCCATACAACTAGATTTCGCAAGGCAATGCACAGATGAACTCCTAAAGTCCTATGATACGGACGTCCCTGCAGCTGCCTTACTTGAACTTATGGATCTTTGTTTAGAAACCAATTTTTCGTTTGATCACAAATATTATCAACAACTAAAAGATGCTCTAATGGGATCACCCATATTTGGCTTTCTTGTCGAGGTGACAATGCATAAATTGGAATCGGTAGGTCTTCCATTAGTTAAACCGAAGTTATGGGTACGATATGTAGACGACACGTTTGTCGTCGTTAAAACGGATTAACTAGAAATACTCCACAACACAATCAATTCAATTATTCTGCGAATTAATTTCACGCTCGAAAAAGAAGTTGACAATAAGCTCCCACTTCTAGATGTTCTCGTACAGCGTAAGACTGACGGAACATTACACACTTCCGTTACCGCAAAGAAACATATGCGGAAATAATTCTATACTATGAGAGCAACAGTCCGATCTCTCACAAGCGGAGTACTGTCAAAAGTCTGATACATCGAGCAAAAACGCATTGCTCTGATGAAGAAAGCTACAAAGTTGAACTAAACTACCTGTTTAAATTATTTTACCAGAATGCTTACCCTTAAGATTTCGCACGTCGATGCATGAGACAATAAGAGGTAAAATCAAAGGAACTAGGTTGTCCCAATCAAGCGCCCAAAGCAAACACTTGGCGAATCCTTCCTTACATCAGGAATGTGTCTGAACATCAGATAAGAGCGGTGCACAAGCCAACGACTATTTTACGCACTAAGCTTGTAAACCCTAAGTATAGGGTTGGCTACCTCGACAGAAAGGAAGTCGTCTATAAGATCCCATGCGACGCCTGCGCTGCCGTATATTGTGTCCAGACGGGAAAATTTGCCTCTACACGCATCCACGAACGTCAGCTTGCAGTTAAGAGGCGAGACCACTTGTCTCAGATGGCCATGTACACTCGATGCTGGACACATATTCGCATGGGACAAAACTCCCATCGTCGGAGTTTGCCCATCTAACAATGGTCGAGAGTTTCTCGAAGCCATGCCCTCCGATGAGGCATGCATCAACAGGCATATCGAGTTAGATGCCACGTACAAAAATCTCAGAGGAAAGTGGAAGAGACGAGAGCCGATCAATACGGACTGACGCACAAGACGGTCGATTACCAGCTGAAGCACCAAATGGGTATTGGTTTTGTGGCACATTTAATATGTTAAATGTTTTCTGCACATGTACTCTAGTCTGACGACAACAAGGGGAACGGACGTCGAAAATTTACTCAATAAAGTTTTCTCCTTTTCCCAAAGAACGTATTCACTTTCAAAGTATATATATATATATATATATATATTATGATAGTGGGCGCTCACCGATCAGGTTACGGAACATGCTCGTTCCGGTGTGCCTTGGGGCTCATACTAGAACCCTCGTAGGCAGTCGCACAGCGACTAGTAGAATGATGTGAATCATGTGGTACCGACAAAGACAAGGGAGACCGGAATGGCCATTTCTGGCTTATTAGCCGTCATCAGCCAGTCATACCCAACCCCAAGTGTGGATCACTTGAGATTCGAACCCGCGATCTTCGGTCATGGAGTTTGACGCTCTACCATTGAACCACGGGCCCGTTGTCCTGTCGGTTGTGATCGGGAATATTACTTATGACATTGGGCGCTCACCGATCAGGTTACGGAACATGCTCACACATACAGAGCTTGTTTGCTTCGTGAAGCCAATAGATCGGTGGGCGCCCATTCCTGATTGATAAATATCCGATCTGCAGCGACAGAGAATGGCAGGTGGCGCGGCACTGATGAACTTCGGTTCGATGAAGTGCTTATGACCCATCTGGTAGATCCCAGTGGTGGACCAGCTGCGCCAGGTGCGTCTGTGCGCATGTTTGTGTTTCTGGTCCCAGCTGCTGGTGGTCAGGGTTATGATTGGCTGAATGAAGGCAAACAAGACCGAAACAGTGCTGTATTAATCTACCTCCAGACTCTGTCGTCTCCCCTCTGATATATATATATATATATATATATCAATTTAGGAATGGTCGCACACCGATATATTGGCTTCACGAAGCAAACAAGCTCCGTATGGGTGGCAAAGGTCACGAACAGGCAACCAATTACCAGGCCGAATTCGCCCATGTCATAATAGCAGCAAGGAGGGACGACAGAGAATGCGGGTAGATTAATACAGCACTGTTTCGGTCTTGTTTGCCTTCATTCAGCCAATCATAACCCTGACCACCAGCAGCTGGGACCAGAAACACAAACATGCGCACAGACGCACCTGGCGCAGCTGGTCCACCACTGGGATCTACCAGATGGGTCATAAGCACTTCATCGAACCGAAGTTCATCAGTGCCTCGCCACCTGCCATTCTCTGTTGCTGCAGATCGGGTATTTATTCACTCAGGAATGGGCGCACACCGATCCATTGGCTTCCCGAAGCAAACAAGCTTCGTGTGGGCGATAGGGGTCAAGAACAGGCAACCACCTACCAGGCCGAAGTCGGCCAACCTATGATAGCAGAGGGGAGACGACAGAGTCTGGGGTAGATTGATACAGCACTGTTTCGGGCTTGTTTGTCTTCATTCAGCCAATCATAACCCTGACCACCAGCAGCTGGTACCGGGAACACAAACATGCGCTCAGACGCACCTGGCGCAGCTGGTCCACCACTGGGGTCTACCACATGGGTCGTAAGAACTTCATCGAACCTGAGTGAATAAATACCCGATCTGCAGCGACAGAGAATGGCAGGTGGCGAGGCACTGATGTGTGTACAGTAGGTGGGATAACTCATGAAAGGTCAACCGAAATTTTTAAAACGCGTTTTCCTTTGGAAATGATCAATCAAGTAGGGTCGTAAAATCAGTCAGTCTGCTACAAAATTGTATACTTTTTCAGTTACATCAGGATACCAGCCTTCGAATTTGTTCCTTTCGGCTTCATGCAGAATCTACACTCTGTAAAAATGGACTAAATTTTTAGCATGCATTTGTTCATTGATTTTCGATGACCCTTAATGTCCAATTATAGTTTATGGGAAACATGCATAAAACTATTTATTCTTTTGCTCATTCGGTGGAAAATTACATCTTCAATAGAAGCGAAGAGCCGAGTCCCAGTAGAAGAAGGAGAAGAATCGGAAAATCCTCCTAAAATCGAATTATGTCCCTCCTTCGAGTAAAAAATTTGAAGAAGATGTAATTGAAGAAGGAGACACGATCGCCGGGACAAGAGCTCTTTTGTCTCTGATGATGGATTCGAGTAGGAATCCGAAACGTCAGGCTAATAAAGCTCTTGTCCCGGCGATCGTGTCTCCTTCTTCAATTACATCTTCTTCAAATTTTTTACTCGAAGGAGGGACATAATTCGATTTTAGGAGGATTTTCCGATTCCCGAATTTTTTTGAACCCGCTCTACCGTCAAACTTGGATCCGGGGTTTCCAGATTCCAAGCCGTATATTTTCCGCGTTCGGAAAACCACAAATTTCTCTACGGTAATAAAGGGGGACTATATAGGGTTCATAAAATTAGGCATTGGATTTGATCCATATTGTTAACTTTACAAGCCACGTTGGTAAATGCAGGGATATGACGTTTTATCGACGGCCATTTCACAGTATTTAAAAGTCTCACAATTAGAAACTTTTTTATGTTCCTCCGAGTATAAAATTAAAAGAAAACCTAGTTTTTTACCGAATGAGTAAAAGAATGAATATTTTTAGCATATTTCCCATGACATATAATTGGACTTTTTAGGGCATCGAAAATCAAAGTAAAAACTGCATCCTACATATGTAGTCATTTTTACGGAGTGTCGTTTATGCATGCAGCCGAAAGGAAGCTAATTCGAAAGTTGGCATTGTGAGACAGCCTGCATTGTGCTGCAGGCTGACTAGTTTTAAAACTCTACTTAATTAATCTTCTCGAAACGAAAACGCATTTCGTTATTTTCGTTGAAATTTCATGAGTTAGTCCACAGAACCCATCTCTTTTCAAAATATATGTATGTATCCGTGAGGATTCTATGTCCAGATATCCTATCTAGTTTACCATTTCTCCAGAAGACGAAGAAGAAAAACGCGATTTAACGGAACAAGTTGCATTCGCAATGTTGTTTCGGAAATCCC